AGTGCAAATTTCTTGTCTTCGTAAACGTCTCTGAAGAAAGTAACAATACAAGAGGGGAAATTTATTATGAGACTATACGCCGATCGGTAGTTTAATTGACATTCAAAAGACTTATAAAATCGCCTTATTATAATTTAATTAAGAAATGCGAATGCGATTTTTTTTTGGGTCGAAACATGTGATTTACTAATTGAGTTAAAGCAAAATGAAATTTCGAGTCTAGTTTCTCACTTTCCTATTTCATTTTACCTCTAATATTTTCCCATTTCTCTCTCCCAAATTTTTTTTTTCAATCTGACAAAGGCATGTGGTCTTCTATCCTATCTAACTTATCCCATGTGAGATTTGTGGGACGACTGCCGACTGTTCCAAAAGTTTAAGTTATTAGATGAAGGCATGGTCTAATATTTAAAATGGTTAATATCACGAAAAATCTTAAACTGGTACACATATGAAAAAGTTACCAAAATTAATTTTTTTTACTATAAAAAACCCCAAACTGGTACATATTTGACAAATTTACCTTTCATTAGTTTCCGTTAAATTTTACTGTCAAATTGTTGAGTTGGATGACACGTGGCAGTTGACGAGTATACCAGTTTGAGATTTTACCCCTCCATTTGTCATAGATTTATCAATTTATGATTTTTCGTAGTATTAATCCAATTTGACGGAAGGTAAATTTGTTACAAGTGTACTAGTTTGGGGTTTTTGGTGGTCAAAAAATTTGTTTGGGGTAAATTTGTCACACGTGTACTAGTTTGAGATTTTTGGTGGTCAAAAAATTAATTTGGAAGAAAATTTGTCACATGTCTACCACTTTGGTGTTTTTGTGATATTAACCCTATTTAAAAAGGGTCATTTTGCCAATTACCTGCGTGGAAATATTTATTAGGGAGGCAGATAGAAGCCTGGAAAGATTTGAACTCAGGACGTCCGTTCTGATACCATGTGAGATTTTGTGAAGACACTGTCGACTGTTCAAAAAACTTAAACAATTAGATGAATACGTGCTTTAGTATTTAAATATTCAATTAATATACAAATGCATTAGGCCTATAGGAACAAATATTCGTTTTCTCTCAATTGACGCCTCCGATGAAGTTTAGTCAAGATAAGTCCTCCAGGTTGGGTCACTGCCACTGATCGCCTCCGACTAAGTTTCGTCGAGTTGAGTTGTCCTGATCGAGAAGGAAGTGAACTGAGTATAGATAATGATGATGAGATAAAAGAAGAGGTGGAGGATACTGAAATAGAAGGAGAAGCAAATTATCACAAGGCTATAGAATTTTTTTTTGGGGTATCTTTTCCTTTCTAAATTAGGTAAAAACCTCACTTCTTTACATTGCAAGATCCAACTGGTCATTCTTGAGACATGTACTGTGATTTTCACTGATGTATTGAGTGATGGGATGCATTTTCTCTGTTGAGTTACTTGTTTTTTATGATGTATGCATTTTTCCTTTCGTTTCTGATGCAACTGGAATCATTGTGGACTATCGGAGAAAGATCGCGGGTTCGTGCTAAAACATATGCAAAGACAGTATAGGGAACATACACACAAATTGCAAGTGGATCACGAGCGTAACAAGGGTCTTCCACTTACTATATCTGAGAGTGATTGGCTTGCTGAAAACAGATGGACTACGGAGGAGCTCAAGGTAAGAATAGATCTACTATAATATCTCTTGGTGTATTGTACTCTGATACAAGGAGACAACTCCGTGCATATATTACATGTTTGTCCTTACTAATTAAGTTTTGCCATCATGCTTGAATAAGTACAGGCTCTCAGTGAAAAGAATGCAGAGAATTATTCAAAGCAGGAGATCCGCAGCACAACAGGTACTCGATCCATTTTCCATATTGCCTATGACATGGTGAAATGCTTGAAATACAACTTTTTCTTCTCCTCAACCCTGTTCATGACTTGGACGCCACATGCACCAAAGAGCATAATAAATTTGAAGGGTCTTCCATTGCTATAGAAATTCATGCATCTTATTTCATTGTTATGTAGTAAGTTTTATAAAGTGCAGGAACTGATCCATTGCTTCATGGCGGCTGGTAATCTAAAGTACAAATCGGGTAATTTGAATTGTAGAATGAACTTATGGCCTAAAAGCATATGGGGTCAGAAGTCTTAAAGAGGGGATCCACCATGGATGCAACGTCATACAGAAGAGAAATTAACCGTTGCCTCGTCTAAACAAGTTACGGAAGAGATTTTATGTATCCAATTCACCCACTTCACCTATACGTATCGGTCAGGATGACCCTACAAATTGCATTCCCAAATATAACACTCTTCCCTTGAACGGCTAAGAGAAAGCTGAGACTTCAGGCATCAATGCAACAAAATTGGATAGTCATGTTCATAGTGCCACTCTTAAGTGCTGTAGAGACCAAGTACTCTTCCATCAGGGAACAGGAAAGAGCAGACCTAGTTGTGCGTTCTGTGGTTTTTTTTTTTTGCTGTCCTACTTCACGTACGTGAATGCCCATTACAAGATGTCTGCAGTGTGATTGTAAGTGATGTACAAGTGAAGTTGAGAAGCATACGTCCGTACCGTCCCATTTGTAATTTCTGAGAATGTACAGGCTTACAGAGACTGCCAGTATCTTGCAAACCATTTCACCCAAACATGTTGCCAAAGAATGTTTTCTCCGGAAGAAATGCAAGCCGGTTAGTGTGATGCTGAACATGTTCAACTGGTTGTTCCCCCTGAATGTGATGAATTTAGTTAAATGAAACAGACAAATGCAAGTGATGTAAACGCTTAAGCCTAGGCCGACAAAATTGACATTAATGTGATGAACAAATAACATTTTACTGCAGTGATAAGCAGGAAATTTATATTTACACACCAAGCTTTCTCTAAATTAAGACATAATCATAGATAAGCTGATCACATGGACTCTGATGATACTGCAACCTTGACATAGATTCATATGGAAGAACAAGCAGAATTTTCAATTACAGGAATAAAAGTCAATCGAAAACAAAGACGGAAAAATGACAGCTATGAAATTCTTCCTCACTATGATTAGTACGATCCGCCAGAAGACAAGGTATCGAAGTTTATATCCCACTGACTGTAACTCACATTCACACTGCTAATCTATCCTCCATGCCTTTTGATTATTGTTCTGTTCTTCAACAAGAACATCTATGGCTTGATAATTAGTGTGATATCTAGTGTACAATTTTCCAGAAGAAAACTATATGTATCCAAGTAATGCTAAAAATGTTGTTGGAAGATCCATTTGCATGAGTTCATAAATGTAACAACTGTATGGAAGATTTATTTGCATGAGTACCTAGTTATAAATGGAGAGAAAATATCATGAAAAATACGAGGCCGAATGCCCAGTAGATTGGGAAATATTCAGATATGAACAGATCTTGTACCCAAATTCAGGGGGGGCTCAAGGCCTAGCAGAACTACAGGTGTTATGCTGTGTGATCTATTAGCGAAGACTGAACAGTCTCATTGGCGGTCTCCGCTGCATGAACTCGTGCCAATCTTGCTTTTGTGCTCCCACTCCACCAGTCCCTTCATGTGATCATCAACGCATATTAGAAAGACAGCAAAGAGTCAAAAACATGAACTACTCTGCATTTACTAATGGTTCACACGAAATTTCAAGACAACCTCCTTCAAATTACTAAATGTCGGCAAAGACCCGCGTTACCTGTGATTCTTACAGGTAAATCAATCACATTAGCCACATGTATATACCCAAAACCAATGGCCCTGTTCGACTATCAGACATCACCGACTGATTACTTTTACTCAAGCACTTTCCCACATTTGACATGCTTTCACGCGTTCTGGCAAAAGAACAAACACTTCACCTCCGTTTGTACCAAAGAACATAACCCAAAACCCATTACACTGACATAACCTCAACTCGGGTATGTCATTAAAGATCGCTCACCTGCAATGGTAGAGCATCCATGTCGGCTCTGAGAGCGAACACCGGCTTCTCTCCGCACCCCATGAAAGCGACGATGCCAGTTGTACTTGATCCCGAGAGAGTCGAGCTCGTCTCTAATGAGTTGGCACTCGTCCGGTGCTCTTCGAACCCGAGCTCTGGCTACTCATGGATCCTCCTCCTGATGTCTCGCATCCTCTAGAAGAACTCCGGGTCCCTGGCCGATTTGAGCAAGCCTTGGGTCAAAGACTTGAGCTCGGGCTCGGCACCGCGGGACCGACAGAAGTGGAAGAGAGAGCGACAACCGCAGCAAGTGAGCGTGTCCCATTTGGAAGAATGGCTCTGAAACTCATCGCCATAGTTGAGATGAGTGAAATTTGTGTATATTACTTTCATTGAACTACAAGGCCAAGTCCCTTTATATAGGGAAAGAATGAACAGTAAACCTAAATTACATATTATGTTTAACATCCCCTCAAACTCAAGATGAGTTGAAACAAGTCAACTGGAGTTTGGAGAGAAGATCTAAGAAGCGCCCAGGTGGATGTGTCTTTGTGAAGATATCGGCAATCTGATTAGCTGATGAAGTAAAGACAAGTCGTAGAGTGCCACGAAGAACATGAGAGCGGATGAAGTGACAATCTATCTCAATGTGTTTGGTGCGTTCGTGGAAAACATCATTATGTGCAATTTGGATAGCACTGCGATTGTCGCAATGAAGGATTGTCCCACTATGATGACGGACTCCCATATCTTCCAGTAGCCATCGCAACCATAATAACTCCGATGTGGTATCAGCAAGAGCTCGATATTCAGCTTCTGTACTAGAACGAGCAATAGTGGATTGTTTCTTGCTACGCCAGGAGATAAGTGAAGTGCCCAAGAAAAAAACAATAACCCGTAGTGGAACGACGATCTTGAGGGTCACCGCCCGGCAAGATCTCGAATAGGCAATCAACTCCAATGTTGAATGAGCGTAAAAGTGAAGGCCATGAAATAACGTACCCTTGACATAGCGAAGAATACGAAGAACTCAGCAAAAAGTGAGTTGTACGAGGCGCTCATGTACTCGGGCCGACAATATGAACAGCATGAGCGATGTCGTGGCGAGTAACAGTGAGATATATAAGACTGCCAACTAGCTGTCGATAGAGGGTAGGGTTTTGGAGAGGAGTCCCATCACCGGCATCAAATTTGGCATTGATCTCAAGAGGGGTCGTAACGACCTTGGTGTCCGTGAGTCCTGCTCGAGAAAGAAGATCAGTGGCATATTTGGCTTGTGAAAGATAATATCCGGATGTGTCTGAAGTAACCTCCAAGCCTAAAAAATAACTAAGTTGTCCGAGATCCTTCGTCTCGAACTGTTGACCAAGATAATGCTTGAGTTTTGAAATTCCGGGACGATCATCTCCAGTAATAACCATATCATCGACATATAGAAGCAGGAGAATAGATCCACGAGAAGTATGTTGAACAAAAAGAGCGTGGTCATGGGGACTAGATTTAAAGCCAAGAGATGCCATGGTGGAGCTAAACTTGGAATACCATGCACGAGGAGATTGTTTCAATCCATATAATGCACGACGTAATCGACACACTTGGTGGGAAGAATGAGTGTAGCCAGGAGGAGGTACCATATAAACTTCCTCGGTGAGATCGCCATTTAGGAATGCATTTTTGACATCCATCTGAAATGCAGGCCAACGCTAACAAAGCAGACAAGAAGGAGACTCGCGAATGTAAGTAAGACGTGCAACGGGGGCAAAAGTCTCTTCATAATCAATGCCATATTCCCGAGTGAAGCCTTTTGCAACGAGGCGAGCTTTATAGCGGTCCACAGTACCATTTGCTTTTGTCTTAATCTTGTACACCCATTTACAACCGACAGCGGACTTACCAGGAGGCAGAGCAACTAAATCCCAAGTATGAGATTTGTCTAAAGCTTGTAACTCATCTACCATTGCCTTCTGCCAAAGAGGGTTAGTACTAGCTTCTCTGTATGTGCGAGGTTCATGAAGGGAAGCTATTGTAGAATAACAATGGTAATCTCGAAGCCAAACAGAAGGTTGACTTACTCTGGTGGGGCGACAATCAGAGGATGAAGGAATGACCGCTGGTGGAGAATCCGCGGGAGGTGCAGACACGTCAGAAGTGGCCAAAGTAGGGTCACCAGAATGTCCTGCTTCAAGATGAGAGAAATGTACATCTGGAATGGAAGAGTCAGATGTGGATGGAGGTGTAGTGTCTTCTGGAAATAAGTCCACGGAAGGATTGGTAAAGAAAGGAACATGAGTAGAGGGGTCGAAGGGATGAATAGAGGAGAACATCTTGTGTTCCCAAAACGTGACATGACGAGACACACGAAGACGATTGGAAGCGGGATCCCAACATCTATACCCTTTATGCTCAATGCCATATCCAAGGAAGCAAGATACATGGGCACGAGGTTCTAATTTCGTGCGCTCATGTGGATGAAGGTGCACAAAATGTGCACTACCAAAAACACGTAGAAGAGTGTAATTTGGGACACTACCATACAAACGCTCGTAAGGAGAGATGTGACCTATAATAGGTGATGGAGTACGATTTATAGTGTAAACAGCAGTGTGACAAGCTTCCCCCCAAAACCGTTCAGGACAAGAGGCAGAGATGAGCAGAGTGCGTACAACATCTAAGATATGCCTATGCTTACGTTCAGCTCTACCATTTTGTTGAGAGGTGCCAGGGCAAGAGCGATGAATGATAGTACAATTTTGAGAAAGAATCCGAAGAAATTCTGTATCTCTATATTCCATAGCATTATCAGTACGAAAAATCTTAATATCTCGTGAAAATTGGGTTTTAACCATAGCAACGAAATCACGATAAATACGAGAAAGTTCAGAACGATTTTTCATAAGATAAACCCAAGTATACCGAGAATGGTCATCCACAAAAATGACAAAATAGCGAGAGCCACCCATGGTGGGAGTGGGGGAAGGTCCCCATATATCAGAGCGAATGAGATCAAAAGGAGCATAGAGACACGTAATCACTAGTCCGAAACGGTAAAGCATGATGTTTTCCCAACTTACAAGGCATACCAAAATGTTTAGTGTCACCGTAACCTAAATGACCACTCGAAATTAAAGAGCTTAACCTAGAAAAGGAAGCATGACCTAACCTAGAATGCCAAGTTTCGAGAGGACACTGTGGCAAAGACAAGCAAAGAAAAGAGGTCGGAATATTTAGGGAAACAAGCTCAAAGAGACGCCCCACTTTACGGCCTGTCCCAAGTGTCTGTCCCGTCCGAGGATCCTGCACACGACAACCATGAGAAGAGAAGTGAATATCAAGACCAAGTTCACACAATTGGCCGACAGAGATCAAGTTAAGTGAGAGTTTAGGAACAAGGAATGTGTTAGTTAAAGATAATGTAGATGTGGAAATGTTTCCTGTATGACTAACTCTCATATGTGAATTATCGGCAGTAAGAATATGAGGTGCATGTAAAGCGGAGGATTTAGACTGAAATAAGGCAGAATTTGATGTCATGTGATTGCAACAAGCAGAATCAAAGAACCAAGAATCAGAAATACCTGGAGTAGTAGACATAGTAGAAGTGCTAGGAATAGGAGGAGTAAAGGTACCAGATTCTCGGAGAATAGTGCGAAGATCCTCTAGAGACACTAGTGTGTGGGACGATCCATGGGAAGAAGCTTCTACAGTGGTAGCATTGGCAGATGGACCGACAGAGGGACCTCGTGAGGGACCTCGGCTACGAGGCTGAGTGGTCGATCCTGTGGATTGCATAGGTCGTAGCCGATAACAATTTGATGCCATATGACCATATCGGCGACAATGTTTGCAAAATGGACGGCGCATGGAGGAAGAACTCGAAGCGGCAAGTACTGCATCCGTGGGCATGGATATAGGCACAGCAGGACGTTGCGTTTTCAAGGTAGCTAGCCGAGTCTCCTCATTCAGTAAATCTGATACAACTGTCTCAATAGAGGGAAAGGGATCTCTATGTAGAATGGAAGCTCTCACAGGTTCAAACTCATCATTTAGAGCCATCAAAAATTGCATGACACGAATACGATCACGATGTTTAGCAACTTTGCGAATGTTACTATCCCCTTCCAAGCGTGGTTCACACAAGGTCAACTGATCCCAAATAGCATGCATAGATGATAGAAAATCATTAATGGACTGACCTTGCTCCTGATGCATGTGATATAAAGTCCCTAACAACCGATATTGATGAGCAACATCTGAACTAGAATAACGACGATCAAGAAGATCCCAAGCTTCCTTGGCTGTATTAAGAAGGCCAAACTGGAGTCGAATAGATGGGATCGAAGTGTTTCGAAACCATGTGAGAATCTGATGATTTCTACTATCCCATTCATCCAAACGATCCACAAATTGATCATCAGTTTCTTCAGCAATTCTAGTAGGTTCCCTAATTTGTCCAGTGACATAACGCCAAAGCCGGCGTCCTTTTAAGAAACTTGATATCTCTTGAGACCATAAAATATAATTGGAACCATTCAAAATAGTCTGAATTGGCATTGAGACTTCCATTCTATCCATTCTATCCATGAAAGGCACTTTACTACTATAGAATCAACGGAATGTAGTATACTGAGCGCAGATATGGAAAAAATAACACCAAAAACCAGCTCAGGGTGTCGGAATACCTCAAGAACCGGTTGGAAAACACCGAAAACCGGTCAGGAAATGGTCAAACCGGCCGAAAAACCGGTCTGGTCAACGCCGGTCAACTCCGGTCAACGCCGGTCAACGCCGGTCAACGGGAGGTCAACGACCGGTGGCGGTGACGTCAGCTGGGAGCGTGGGCCAGGCGCGTGCCGGCATGTGCCAGGCGCGTGCGGGCACGCCCAGCGCGCGCGGCTACAGGCGTGCAGTCGCCGCTGCGTGGATCTCACGCGCAAAGGCTTGGAGCGCGCGTGAGGCGCGTTCGATGGAGGAATGCGGCGAAATTATTGGCCGACTCGACCGAGGGCGGCGAGTCGTGGGTTGGTGTTGGTTTTTGGAGAAACACGGCGGAGGATGTCCAAAACACCGGTGAACAAGCAGTGAACGGCGGTGGACTTCCCCGAGTCGAAGGCGCAGGGGCGCGGGGCGGTCGTGCGGCGGCGTCCGCGACCGTTGATGATGAAATTTCAGGATGTGGGTCGCCCGAGGGCGGCGAGTCTGCTGGTGGTCTCGGTTTTCCGAAATGAGCAGCGGAAGTATGCCGAGCAGATACGAAAAACTTCGGTCTTGTTGGAGAACCGGGACGGCGCGGCCGGTGCGGCTGGCGTCGTGGCGAGCAGAGACGAAAAGACTTCGGTCTTGTCTGAGAACCGGGACGGCGCGGCCGGTGCGGCTGGCGTCGTAGCGGCCACGGGGTGGCAGACTCAATGGGCGCTCCTCAGGTAATAACGGCTCTGATACCAAGTTGAGATGAGTGAAATTTGTGTATATTACTTTCATTGAACTACAAGGCCAAGTCCCTTTATATAGGGAAAGAATGAACAGTAAACCTAAATTACATATTATGTTTAACAGCCATTACAAGTTTGAGTGATTGACGTTTTGGTTTCAGCGAAGATGCGGTGGGAGCGAGTCTCGTTGATCTGTCGCTTCTTGGAGGAGACAAGTACGAGAGAGATGGAGAGGGATGTCGTTCTACAATCTGAGGAACTGCGCTTTCATAGTGGACAAAACAAGAGACCTGCGCATTGCAGACTCTCTATGTTTTCAGAAATTATTGCTGTTGCTCTGTCATTCTTTTTACTATATAACAAGTTTTTTCTCAGTAATTCCCCAGCTTGCACTCGCATGCAACTCAACTAGAGTGGACGATGAAACAACTTGGATTTGTGACTTGGGAGTGTGTTATGTTTATCTTTGTCCTTGAAAGCCTTTATTGATAGTTGACAGTTGTCCGAATTTGTGTTTCTGAAGCAAATCATCTCACGGCTCTTCTGTTACCACTTCCGGAATAATAGAAAAAGAAATCCAGAGAGGTTAATGGAAATGAGCAAAACCACATCCCGCCAGATTTTATTTATTTATTTTCGTTTTTGTCCATCTTTTTGGACAACCAAAAAGTAAAAATTACAAGACTCCTCGCTATCTAATACGAACAATTCAATGAGGAGAGAAACAAAGTATTTCGCCCCTAATAGTAACGACCTTGCTGTAGTAAAAGTATTGACATATCTACACATTAAAATTCAACCGACTAATGGAAGAGCTAAAATCACGCAATAATGCATGAAGAAGCAACTCAAACCGTGTGCTCTTCTTGCTCAGAATCTTAGTGATAATCAAGAAACTGAAAATCCCCTCATGACGAAGCCTGCATCACCGAGAGCGGCACGAGGAGCGAGGCTGGTTGGACCATCAGCTCGTCATAGCACGTCCCAAAGCTCGGAGTGCCTTCCAGTGGCATGTTGCCCATGATGGGGCCATACGACGATGTCTCCAAAAGTATCGTCCCCTCCGGGGTGGCGAAATGAAAGTCTTGTCC